AGGATAAACAGGGAGCTTATCTTTAGGAAGCATGGGAAGAGGAAGGAAGGAAGGAAGGAAGGAAGGAAGGAAGGAAGGAAGGAAGATATCCAGACTGCTGGAGATCAATGAGATTGCAGACTCATAAAACATTACACAAATATCTCTCAGACACAGTTGGTCACTGAGGATAGTTTCTTCCAGGCTTATTTCCTAAAATCTGAAATTTTACACAGAACCAAATGAGCTAACATTACTGACAAATTTCTCACAGCCTATTACAGTTCACTTTAAAATGATATATCACTTCAAAATAAGGGAGATCAAACAAAATGTCCCTATGCTTGATTGTCAGTATTTCGGATAGATTTGGTTTACAATTTGAATGTAAAATTTACTGAAACTTTAAATACTGTTTCTCTCAAAATTAATTCAGCACTCTTTGTTTCTTATTTAGTCATCAATAAATTTGTCAATTTTCATATTTCACAATGAAATGAAGTCCGGAAGTAAGTAAACACAAAGAAGGCGGTGAATTCTGGAAGTAAATAAACACAGAAAGTAAAAATAATGCCACGAGGGAGATGCTTGTTGAGATGCCACTGTTTTTGTCTGTGTGTGCATGTTTATCTGTTAGCATAAGTGTATGTGCGTATCAGCATGCATAAAATGTTCAGATGGACAAAATAAGGTAAACTACTGGATTAAATTACTCTTTATCTAAATTATGCAGCAAACTATTTAAAATGTCCCCACTTCTTGAATACCCAAACAATCACCCCTATTTAGGTCCATATTTTTGCCATCTCAGGCTGTACTCGGCAACATTAGCTATCATTTGTTAGAAATGCTTATGGTTAGAAGTATTAACATTAAGAAAAGATTTTTACAATATGAGCAGGGAGGTACTGGCACAGGTTATCCAGAGAGGTGGTGGATACCTCAACCCTGAAGATAATCAAGGTCAGGCAGAACAGGGCTCTGAGCAACATGAACAAGCTGTAGGTGTCCCTGTTCACTGCAGGGGAGTGGAACTAGGTGGCCATTAAATGTCCCTTCCAACTCAAACAATTTCATGATTCCATTGAATGACATGCTAAAGGAAAGTTTGAGTGGAATACCAATATAAGATTGGTTACACTAAGAACTGAAAAAAAACCAGAAATTTTAAATTCCAGTTCTAATACATAGAACCATACAATGATTCTAATTGTATTCTTATTTTGCCTATTGGTCTTACACTGTATTTTCCTGACTCGTAAGCCTAAGGCAACTGCTCTGAGAACGGACTTGAGATGCTAGAAGAATAAGGTGCTATTCTTTCTATATTGATTTGCAAAATTAAAAGTTGTATTAGAAGGAAACAATTTAAACAAAAAGAGCCAATCTTAAAGTGGAACAAGACCACCATTTTTCCACCACAGGAAAATTTGAGAAATAAGAGCTACTGAAGGGTTTATCATCAAGAGAGATGAAGGAAGGCAAAATACATTTAACCAGAATGGAATATGTCCAAGTCAGAGGTCCAGTGAGCTCAAGTGATCACAGACATTAAGTGCCACTCCATTCCCACAGCAGCCCCAGCCAAGACAAATTTTTGTCAGGCCAATGACCAGCACAGCTTCCTGTAGCTGCTGATGCCTCTCAGTCTAAGCACTGGTTCAGATCCGTGCTGCCTTATACGAGAGATCTGGTGAGATTTTAAGGTTATGGCTTCAAGCCATTTTGAAGTGCTTATCAGGAAAATGCAAAATGACTAAATGTGTATAGCCTGGGGGAGTGGGACTATTAATAGTGCCAATGCCAACTGCTTACTGAGATCTGAGTACTGTAAGCCAAGAAACAGAGGAATTGTTCTCAAGCCAAATGAAAATGTTTCTGAGAATGAGAGAGGGAATCCACCACAGTGACTGTTAAATTGACTACCAGGAAAATCTGAGTTAAGAACCAGATTCAAATTTCGGAAAGGAGCCAGAATTTTCCCTTGCATAACTTAACTAAAATGAACTGGCTTCAAATTATTAACCTGTAATGGTCACCAAGAAGAGAACAGATGACTCGTGAGTATTAGCTATCTCCTGATTCCTAATTCTCTGAAAAGCAAAATCAATATGGTGAGGTCACTCCATGACCCGTGATTGGCTATTACTGATCTCTATAAATTGCAACATTTATGCTGCACAGGGAGGATTCCAGCTTAGCTACTGAAAGGACACCTAGTGGCAAGTCAATGAGTACGTCTGGAAACTGCTGGGACTGTTGAAGGTCTGCAATAATAATTGTCACAGGAGTTGCTAAACAGTTATATGTTGAACATGCAATGTCCTATGTGAAGAATATAGCTCAAGTGTTAGGTTTTGTTGTTGTTGCTTTTTTTTAACTGCAAACGGCATTCTTACAAATACTTTGTAAAAACATGGAATTTAAGATTCACTTCCTTCAAATTCAAAGAGCAGCATTCTAAATGAAGGATGAACATGCCTACATATCAAACTGTGACTACAATCTTGAATCTCCTGAATCTCCACTACACCGATTTTAGGAATACTGGATAGCTGAACAGAACCTGTCACAGATATGTTTTACTGGATACTCGAGCCAAATTTCAACATGCTCATCATCAATTCTCAGGTCTTTCATTGAGCCACTCTAAAATGCCCTAACCAATTCCTTCTCTTCTTACAGATCACCCTTCTCCTCCTCGAAGACAAACAGCCACAGGATATAAATGCTAGGTATTCAAGCTAACTTTACTCTTTTTTTCTGTCCATCCAGCTTTTCAGTCACTTCTTGCCTGTGTTTATTCCAAACCCCTTTATGTGTACTAATGCCCTTGTGACCAGGAGATGCCCACAATAAAAAGCTGTATTCCAGATGGAGTCATGCTGGTCTCATGCAGAGAAGGATTACAACCTTCCTGTTTAGCGACATGCTGCCTCTGGGCAAACAGACCAAAATCCACACTTGGTTTTCTTGTTTATGTCAACATATCATATTACAAGCATGGAACAATTTTCTGACCACTATCCTTCCTCGATTATTGTTTTTATGTTCTATTTTCCAGGTTACTCTCTTCTGCCAAACACCAGTTCCTTTGGATTAATTGTCCCTGAGTGAATTAGTACAGATTTTCTAGGTCCGTTTTTCCAGAGATATACATATATGCATTTATCCAATGTTACAACATCTCTGCATACCATTGGTCTGTTCTCTATCCTCACAGCACTTATAACAACTCTCAACTTAGTACCATCCTTAGATTTTAGAAGCCGTAAATAAACCATTCCTGTTCCTCTATGCTTTTTCATCACAACAAAGAGCCAAGCACTGGGGATAATCTTTGTTTCTTTTTCAAATGACCTCTTACCAAAGGTTTGGTTAAAAAATCCTGCTCTGCTCTCCACAACACAACCATGAAAAAGTAGATCACAGCGTGACACTGAGCCAAGGCTGCAGCTCCTGCTCTTAGCAGACATTAGCATCCATTTCTTTTCCAGCTCTGTTTCAGGAGCTCACCTCTCCTTCACTCCTGAACCTCCAGCCTGGCCTGCTCTCTATCTTAAAATGGCATGTAGTTTCCTTCCTTTACTATAAACAATGCTTTCTGTAACCCTAGTTTCACAATGCAAACATTTAAAAATAAGAATGAAGGGTACACAAACTATGTGTCCAATTAGGCAATTTGAGGATTAAATTAAATGAAATCTCTTGAAACATGGAACATTTCAAAGCAATGAAGTCTGGCTTTACTTGTCTTACTTTTATCCCATCACTTTAAAAAAGGAGGACAATCTGTCTTAGAAACTCAGGCAGAAGAGAAGTAAAGGCAGCTGAAAACAGCTTCTTCCTTGTGAATCCATGAGAAATGAAAACACGGCTGAGAGGAAGAAGCAGTGACACCCAGGTATGAACTCAAAGGGAAACAGAGGCACTCTGTGAACTCCCAGATGACAGAGGCTGGGCAGCCAGCTGCCACCGTTGACATGGGAGGCTCCTGCTATCACTAACATCACTGTCTGTAACATGATGTCAGCTTGCAAGATATCGTGCAATCTGGCATTATTTTTATATTAAAATGTAAAAAGAGCGAGAGGCCAACAAATAAATAACATTCTTCAGTAAAAAATTTTAAAATGAATAAAAAGAATAGGGATCCCTTGTATACATTCTATATAATAAGGAATAGATGAGGAAAGAGTAGCAAATGAAAATAACATTAAAAAAAAAAGTACTGTTGTTTGTCTCTGCAGTCCACCTTTAAATTTTGGTTGATTGTACTCCACCAAAAAGGCTCTTGCTTTCCTTTTATTTAACAATTTCTGAGAGGATTTTCATTGCTGTATCCCTAATCCAGGTTTTGCTCTTGTGAATGCTACAGTAACAGAAGAAATGAAAACTGTCTGCAGATTTGGAAGATTTCTTATTATGTTCATCTGAACATGCACATTTGGCTTTCATTGTATGGTGTGCCAGACAGCTACAAAAACAAAGCGTAGCCTTTTACAGCTTTAGTCAACACTTAGAACTTTAGATCACACGTATCCCAAACGAAAGTGATTCCTCTACCTTTCAAGCAAGCCTATTTCCTGTTGGGCTTACAGTAAATACAGGTGGTACGTTAGTTGTGTTTAAACAGACATTGCAAACATGAGCAATAATAGCTTCAAAAAAGAAGCACAACATAGCTACAGATATTACAACTTTACATTTACCCCAAGTCTCTTTGCAGGTTTAAGTATTTTACAGCCATGTTTTCCCATTTCCTACAGTGCACTGAGGAAGGGTGAAGGTTATCCCATTATTTGGTAAAAACCACACAAAAAGCATAGGAGGAAATGCACAACATTTCCAAAGCAATATCTCATATGCAAAAGAAGTATGTTCAATAACAGAGGTTAGATCTTTCTTTTCTTACTTTACCAATATAACACCTCATTTTAATTTTACTCACCATTAGTAGAAAGCAATCATGAATAAGAAGGAGAGTTTTAAAAGGAACCTGCTATCTTGAAGAGACCTACCTTGAAAGAAACTTTTGACTCGCAGGTAGCTGACACTAAGGCGCAGCACAGACAGCTTGTCCAGCTTGGATATTATGTCAGGTGGGAAAGGCAGGAGGCTGGCCAGATGGTCTAGTTCTGCATTTAGGCGGTCCCTGTGCCTCTTTGAAGGATTTGATTTTTCATTTCCAGCTGCAGGCCTTCTGTGGGGGAGAAGAGAGTCACATTTTCGATTACCTGTTTTATACCTCCAAGTAGTGCAACCACAGACTGAGATGCTTTTTGCCATCAGTTGATAACAGGTGTAGTTAATCAAGCTCCTATGCAAATTTGTTAAGTTTTTATCCTCTGCTTAAAAGATATTCTGAAATTCACCATTTTGCATTGCACAAAGACATGGACATTGGCCTCTTTTCTCATAACTGCCCAGAGGAAAACGGATGAAGAGATGATATCTCTTAGTTAGGGCCCTCTGACCTTAGAGGAATGGATGCTACCTTTGTATCTTAGAGAACACCAGGAAAAATGATTCTTCATCTGTGCAGTACAAATTAATGTCAGAACAGTAAAGGAAAATTACCATGACTAATGCATGAACCCATTCAATACCCAGTGTATTCATTCAAAGCATCTCAGTACCCTCCATTTAATGACTCAGAATTAACTCGTAGGTCAGAAGATAATTAAGAAATGAGCCTTTCTTCAGACATGATTAAAAGAATATGGGAAGCAACATGAAGAGACATTATTTTGCCAAACTCAAACATCTTATGAACATCCTCAAATTTACCTTTCTGCATCACTAATAACAAAGGTAAAATTTTGGTTTCTCTCTTGAGAACATTGATACTCCTCTCAAAACATATAGAATAGTATTATTCAGATTTCAAAACCGAACACTCCAACTCCATTAGGCACCCCAGTGTGGAACAGATTCCACAGCAAACCTATTGCAGATGTTCAAGGTGAAAACTATCAACAGTGAAAGGAGGCAGATTAAAGTTATACAGGCAAAATAGTGAACCTTTATCATAGAATCACAGAATCATGGAACCATGGAATCACAGCATTATAGAATGTTTGGGATTGGAAGGGACCTTAAAGTTGACCCAGCCCCACTCCCTGCCATGGGCAGGTCTGACCCCCACCAGTTCAGTCTGCCCACAACCCCATCCAGCCCGACCTTGAGCATCTCCAGGGATGGGGCACCCATAGCTTCTTCTCTGAGCAGCCTCTTTTGCACCTATCTCACAACCTTTTGGGGTGATTTGTTGTGACTAGCACAACAATAAGGAGCGTCCCACACCAAAGTACCAAGGCATTTGTGGCAAGGTTGAGAAAGATGTTATCCACTGCAGACAGCCATTGCTGGGCCCAGCACTGCTCAAGTTCTTTGTCCAAAAATAAGCCACTGGAGATGTAAATTGAACAAATCCATGATCTGAAGGTGTACAGCAGCCTAGGACTGCAGCTGAACTGGATTTGACCAGGGCACTCAGTACTGTGTTTGCTGTTCTCCATCTCACTCTCATAACACCAGTCCAAGCTGATGTTGCAGTACATTGCTACATTCATCCCAAAGCCCTTTCTCTAGAAGAAGAGACATACAGAGAAAGATCAACAGAGAAATGAGGGGAAAAATTATATCAAGTTAGGAAAATGATAGACAAGGAAAATACGTGTGTTTTAGCAGTTTCAACTTCCACCAAACTAAACGCAAGGATCATAATCTTATCTAGCTTCAACAGTGCTCCAGTGGAGAATCAGAGTACATCAGGTCACTTGTAACTCTTTTCTGCTGCATCTTCACACTCCATACATTAACTACATTTTTCAAATATAATTTTAATTTTGAACATTAGTATTTCACAAGGTGCTCAAAGAGCTAAATTACAACATAATTTGAGTGTTCCTTTTTTATAAATGTAATTTAGCATTGTTCGGAAAGAAATACTATGTTTAGAAATTAGTTAAAAAAAGATTGATGTCTCTTATATGTGATTGCTGACTTTGCTGCTAAGTGAAAACCTCTTAAATCAAATCAGATTTGAAAAAAAATTGCTACCTTTGTAAGCCTTCACTTCAATTTAACACAACAACATCAACAGATAGAATGAGTGAAAAACTGTTCAAGACAGGTGTCAGTGAAAATGTAATTCTCACCTTTTCATTCAGAATTATCCAAATTTGTATGTGGCTTTTCAGCAACTCAAGTACTTTCAGAGATGTGGGGGAGATTTTAGTAATTGGGGACCTATAAATGACTTTTCTCTGTGAGAAAGGGCAACATCCAACAAATAATACAATCCAAAAAAAGGCATACTCTTTGTACATAGTGGGTACTAATTTTTTGGAGTAAACCCTGACACTCAGCCATTCTCACAACATCAAAATGACGTCTGACCTCTGGAAAGCAACGACTCAAGTTAAGTAGAAGTTTAGGAACATAGGATATTATTATTTGCCCTTTACAACTGACAAACCAGTCAAAGTAAGGAAACAATTTAGTACACAATAAAAAATTCCAGTAAGGAAAATTAGACTGAGGAGCTCAAAATGTAAAAATGTCCAAGACTGATATGGTATAGAAATCGTTAAAGCCTATTTGTCACGTAAACTCACAACTGCTCTATATCAGAGATGTATGGCAAATGCACGGGCTGCATCTGTACCGAGCAAAGTACCCATTTTCTAGAAGTTACAGGGAATGAGGTAAAAAGACTGCAAGAGAAAGAAGTCTTCCTGAAAACTCAAGGAAATGATTCAGTAAGGGAGTAAATCCAAACAAATGTGAGTTTGATGCAAATGGTAATTAGGTGCCAAGTGGGTAGGATTTAAAACAATGCAAGCTCCATGGAAAAGCTTGCTTAGCTATCCTTCAAGGAAAACAGCAGGCAGGAAGATTCTTCAAGGAGCTGTTTTGAGGCAAATGGAAATTCTTGCCCTTACTTTGAGCTGAAAGCAGCCATGCTTGTCATGCTTATGTAAAAGCTGATTTTCAAACTACATAAATCAGGTCTTAATAGAGACACAGCATTCACTCCATGCCTTTTTCACTTTGCTTTTCATACAATTCTATTACAATAAAGCGGCACTTGTACCTAAAATAGTAAAGCCAGCATTTCTTTCTTTGCGTCTTGAACACAACCATCCAAATTCTGCTTTGCTCAGTAACAAGAATGCATTCCTGCACGGGACCATACAAGTAGTCCCTGGAAGTGAGTGCAGGAGCTGGGACACAGACATTTTCTCTGTTGTTGGTACGTAAGACATTGAGCTGTTTGTGCTTCAGTACCTCAGTTTGCCCAAGACCCACAGGTTGCAACTGTTGTAAACCAGATGGGTAAGCTTGCAGGAGAATTTCCTGCACCACAGATTTGTACACTGAGTGCTGTGTCTTCTCCTCCTCTCCAAGCCATACCTGCCGCCCACTGAGGCAGTCCACATCTTTTAACAAAAAGTGCACTCTGAAGAAGTTGTCCAAGTATGCTGGAGTATGAAACACACTGATGATCTCAGCTGAGAAAATCTAACCATCTGATAGGACAGGAAGCTTTCAGTAAGAAGAGAAAGGGAAGAAAGACAATGACATAGAGCAAAAAGCAAATAGTTATCAGCAACACACTGACCAGTACCCACAGTGACTGAGCACTGCACAAGTGTGTCCTGGCAGAGCTGAGCCCCAGTGCCAACCACACATGTGCAGATTCTGACCATCTCTATGAATGAAAAGAACTGAGAGGAAGCTGTTCGGAGGAAAAGGTACCTTTTCAATGATACGCCTCTGCTAAGCCTTCACAGCAAGGAGAGGAGAAAGCAGAACTCTTGGTCATGAAAACATCACACCAACAGAGAAGATGAGAGGTTGGATAGTGTGATACCAAGTAAGAAGAAAGGCTATGCCATAGAGGGCCTTAAAATGAGAACTAAGGAGAGAGCTGCTCCTAAGATCTCTGTTTACCCTGGCACTGATACAGTTCTGACTGAACTGGGCAGTTTGGAGCAGTTAAAGATACACTCAGAGCGAAGGCAGCTGAGTTTGCCTTTAAAGAGCTGTAAAACATTACAAGAAATGTTTTGTGGAGGGAGAGAGTTTTTACAAGTTGCCAGGGTTTGAGATGAAGTGGATGAAGCTTTCAAACAGTAACTGTCCTGAAGCACTGCCCAAGCATTGCTAGTACGAGTATTAATTTCAGTGTAATGCTTTTAGTCTGAGGTTAAAAACAAGATCTCCTTATTTTTCAGATGCTTGAATTACTAGCAAAATATTAGATTTCCACAGGAAGCAAACACTTAGTAGAAAATATTTTCTTTACTCAAAACACCAGTTTTCTGGATGAAAAACATATCTGATGGAAAATTTTCATTCACCCTGACCTCCAGGTGCTTGATCTGGTTCCATAAATGCCAAAATCCTTTAGCGCAGACCACATATAATAGGGCTTGTTTGCAAACTTTCCATGGTCAAAGGAGAATGGCTAGGATTTGTTATATATTTATATGGGTGAAGGTAGAACTTAAACCTGATACATTGTCTGAAGGCAATCTATTGAAGATGGTCTCTCCTACTTGTGGGTGGAGAAGACAAAATATAGTAGCTCTTCCCAGTAATACAAATTTTCTACTCATTTTTTCATAGTCAAATGGCTCTCTTCATTCTCCCACGGAGTTTCTTCATATATTTTCCTCACTGTTCGGTAAAGTTACTTCAGAATGCAATTTCCAATGTCCTATGCCTGCAAAAACAGGCACTGTCATTCTGCAATATCTCCAATTAAAAGCCAGCTGCAGGATCATCAGCTGGTTTGACAGCCTGATCACAAAATGTTAACAGAGCAGAGAGTGGGCTTCCTGGGATGCACATACATTGGGAAGATGTTAAAGTACCAGCTGTTCTGCAGAGGGGAACACTGAACCTCTGTTTTTTGAATTCTGGCATTTAAAAGGCCACAAATCCCTAGAGAAATCCACGTATCCTACTCAGATGAGAACTTATCTCACTTCACAGAATCACAGAATTGTCAGGGTTGGAAGGGACCTCTGGGGGTCATGAAGTCTGAGCCCTTGCTAAAGCAGGTTCCCTACAGCAGGTTGCCAAGGTAGGCATGCAGGCCTTTGGGGAAGGAGACTACTAACCTATTTGGGCAGCCTATACCAGAGCTCTGTCACCCTCACAGTAAAGAGGTTCTTCCTTGGATCAGCATGGAACTTCCTGAGCTACAGTTTCTGCTTGGTGCCCCTTGTTCTATTGCTACACCTCACTGAAAAGAACCTGGTCCCATCCATTTGACTCCCACATTTTAGATATTTGTAAAAAGTGCTGAGATCCTCTCTCAGCCTTACCTTCTCCAGACTAAAGTGCCCTGGGTCTCCTAGCCTTTCCTTGTACAGATTAAGAGCTCCAGGCTCTTAATCATCTTTGTGGTCCCACTGGACTCTGTCCAGGATATCCCTTTCTTTTTTTAACTGGGGAGCCCAGAACTGTCAAGAGAAAGTCTTAAATTTCTAGAGGACATTAGGATGATAGAGACGAATAATAGTTTGGACTGGACAAAGAATTCCCATCAACTTATTTTCTCTGAAAAATTAGGTTTTCAGGCTGAACAATGCAGGTGAACAGGTGGCTGTATCTACTGTGATTCATTATCAGAACAAAAGGAAGAAAAATAGAACAAGGCCATAGAGCTATGCTATCAAACAAGACAAAAAAATGTTATAACAAAAAACAGCACAACATGGATTAAAATTGTTAAATATACTGTTCAATAATGTATACCCCTCCAAATTCAAGATAAACAATTTAAGGCTACATAACAGAAAGGATATCTCATAGCTCTGAAACATCAGGAAGATCCGTTAGGGCTGAAGGACACAGACCCTGAAAGGAGCCCTGGAGTCTGTAAAGTCAATCACAGGCATTCAGAGCCTCTTTAGAGCAATGTTAGGAAGTCTGTGAATGAGGAAAGGCTTACCAGAGACCAAGCCCACAAACAGATATGGCTGGAGGAAGAGACCAGTGTTGCTAGGAAGTGAGAAATCATCCTCAGCAAGTAAGAAATTATTATCCATAGGAAATAGAGGGTAGTCTCCAGTGTGGGAGCTAAGTATTCTGGAAACTCAAAGCACTTGATTCCCTTTATTTTAACAAAAACCAAGTTTCTCCATCAAGATTATCTATGTCTGAGTGGATAGGTATGTTCAGGTACCTGCATCACAATCTCACAGCGGAGCTATTTTCAAGGTACTTGCTACATCGATGTTTTGAATGCAAAATTCCCAAGTGGGCTCCTGAGGACATTTCCATCCTTAGATAGCAAGTGGCTTTCTTAGATATTGCTTTATCTAGAAGACATCTCAGAGAGAAGCTCTTCTAGCCACCATACACACTCCAAACATGAAGCTTAACATTTTTCCAAGCAACTGTGACTCTTACTCCTTTCTCACAAAAGTTAGGATACATAAACAGCTCTGCACAGAGGTAATTTCATATACTGGAGCACTTCCATAGCTCATATAGGAATAAAGAAGCTGTATGCATTCTTGAACACTAGTGCAAAAATGTCATGTACATTTGGATCTAATACTCAGGCACTGCGGGAAGAACACCCTTCTTCATTCATTATCTTTGTCTGTTGAAATCGCCACCTGTGATACATTTTACATTAAATATAGATATGTATCTTTTCAAGTGGCAACAAGTGGTTCATGTGCAAATACTCTCCAAAATCCAAACAAAATGAACAGATTTCACCCAAACTTTCAGAGAAACTCCCTTTTGACTTTAGACCAAAATATACAATTTTAAGCCAAGCGAGTTATTTTTGGAGCTCTGAGAAAATGCAAATAGAGAAATCTGTTTTAATTAACTTTTCATCCTTAAATTGCAAAGACCATCAGCAGCAGTTCATAATTTTAACACACTGTGAATGTTTCATAACTATGTAATCAAATATAACACAGAAGATGTCAGATAATTATATCAAAAGACTTTGTTTTCAAGTAGTTTATGACAAAATCATTCTGCATTTGAATGATAACCTTTTTTCCCTGCATTTCAAGTATCTTTTTCTTCCTGTTGTGGTTTTTGTTTCTGCTCTGCCTTCACACATACAATTGTTCTCATTTTTTCTTCGAATAAAAGTGATTCTGTGGTTAAATAGTGGCTCAAAAATGATGCCCTTTTTATGCAAAACGTGAGTCACCAGTCTGCTTTTTCAGTTGGCTGAACTGACCCACTTTCCAGACTTACATCTACTAGATGTAGTGATGCCCCAAGCCAGGCAAAGCCAAGAAAGGGGGAAGGGGGGACCTACCAGCACACTGGTGCCACTCAGCACACAGCTTCCCCATAGGGAAGCTCTCCTTGAGCAAGAGACAGGGAACACAGACACACACAGAGGTAGCAGCCACTCCCTCCAGCCAACTGCCCAGCTGACAATTAATCCACCAACATCTTCTGCCTACAAACAACCGCTGCTCCTATCACTCCTCAAAGCACTATGCTATGTAGTATGCTGTGGTGTGCACCATAGCCACTGGACTCCTTCTGGGTCATCAACTAGCAGTGGGTAAGGACAGTCTGACCCATGCACAGCATCCTCTCTGGAGTAGAAGAGTCATGGAATACACTGAGTTGGAAGGGACCCATAAGGATCACTGAATCCAACTTCTGGCTCCACACAAGACCACCCAAAAATCAGACCATATGACTGAAAGCATGATGGCATAATAACAATTCTGCAAAGTCTTTGGAATAAGAGCAATGGTACAAGATGCTGACTGGAGCCAGCCTCCAGCCTGGGTTTCTCACCATGACAAAAGATCTTAAGTCTCTCCTGGGTCAGCAGAGTATGGGAGGATTGGATTCCTCCTACCATATTTCTAGCACGCACATTTGGAGGGAGGTGCAACTGCCTCCTGATCAATGTGATACTTAACTGTTTCTGAATGGGTTTCCTCCTTTTCCTCCCAGCATAGAGGCATTCCCCCGGAGGAATCATTGTTTTGATGCTGAAAAAGAAAAGGAATAGGTGTCTTAGTTCAGAGGTTTCTGCGTTTCGTACCACTGCACAAAAGGACAGCACCAAGAAGTTCAGCTGAAAAAATGTTCGTTGCCTGAGTGTGGCATCCAACAACACTAAAAAGAACACTGGCATTAGTTAAGATAGAAGCTTAGGGCTTATTCCAATTTCCTACCTTAATGTTATTAGAATATTGATGTTTATATTCAATTTTCATTTTTTCAAATTAAGCTTACTATACATGGTATAAAAATACATCCTGTTTACTCGATATGCAAAAATATGTTTTTTTCCCTCTAGGCTCATTTTTAGATTCAGCTTAGCAAATAAGAATGAATAATACTACTCATCATCTTTTGCAGGGAGGATTTCACAGCTTTTTAAACACACAGGAATATTGTCTTCTATTACTGAAACTGTGGTAAGTAGGAAGCAATTATTCAAATTAGCATTTGTCCAGGTCCTCACACCCTCATTTTTAGAGACTGAGAGCATATGTGTTGGCAGCTCAAGAAGCAGCACACAGAGCTGTGGTTAGCGCCAGGACCAGGAGGTGACAACTTTTAGACAAAACTGTTGCTCTGCTTGGGTATGTCAGACATTGCAAGGCCTAAAACAAGTCTTTGTGTTCAGTCTGTTCAGATCTTTTGGAGCTTAGCCGAACAGCAAAGTCTCTTGGTTTTCTGTCTGAAGGAGTATTTCAGTCTCACTGTATGCTGTTCAACAATGGCTGTGCATTGCCTGAGAGATTAATATATCTCAAGAGTATTTGCTGCTTTGTGCAAGACGAGAAATCAAGGGGATCTTCTATTCACTGAATCAAATCCCACGCTATTGAAAAAAGCTATGTCATATAAAGCAAATCATGAGCATACTGAACCTCATTTAAAAAACTACTTGGAGGAGTTTTCTTTTTCATTGAAAAACAGTTTTCTGATAACTAAAAACCTTTTGCTTTCCAGATTAAATTTGTTCATGGTCATTTTATGCCCATTTGTTCTTCTGCCAACATTGTCTTTTAGTTTAAATAGCTCTTCCTCCTCTATTGTGTTTACTCATTGGCGTATTTTTAAGTATCAGTCATGTCTTCAGCTAGCCTTCATTTTTTCTATTCTAGGACAACTCGGTCTATTTCATTCCCCTCTCATGTTACAAACTCCTTATTCTTGCCATCATCTTAGAATCTTTTTTCTTTACCATTTCAATTAATCTGTCCAAAACATGAATAAACAGAATCACATACAGCATATTAATTAAGCCTACCTGTATTTTGTACATATCCATAATACATATATACATATACATATTAATAAACCACTAGTTCTTTATGGGAGCTATCTCACTTGATATTAGCTTGACAGCATTCTCCTTTTTCATAGCCATTATTAAACTCACAGCTCGCTGTCACATTTGGTCACCTCATGCACAGTTCTCTGTCTTCACGCATAACTTCCACCAAACTCACGCACAGTTTGTGAAGGAAAACTAAGTTTCAGTCTGCAAGTGCCTGGCCATCTCGTTCATACGGTTAATCTGCAATTGGTTTTTATTACATGAGAATGGTGTACACTTCTGTATTGATGGTGCGAGCAACTGAGGTTTCTATTACACTCCTGTAGTAAAATCCTCTATGAAATCCTGTAGTAAAAATGAGATTGCCTACAAACTGATAGTTGAGGAACAATGCTGGTAGCTTCCCTCCTGCTCAGTCATCTTCCTTCCAGTGTGTGTTGTTGATTCAGTTCCTTCCACCAACCCTTTCAATTCTTGTACTAGTCCTCAGCAGCACAGCATCCTTCACTAAAGTCAGATAAATTAGGCCTGCCTACTGTATTTCCTTCATCTGAAAAATCAGTTGTTTTATTAGCAGAAGACTATCAAGATACTTTGTCAACATTATCTAAATCTACATTTCATTTTTACTTCACTACACGACCAACTCTGGCCATTAATTGTACTTGCCTCGAGAATTTGGTCTAAAATACTGCCAAATAGAGATAGCAAACAAATAGGTCAGTAGCTTCCCTCTCCTAATCACAGCTGACGCTGGTAACACCAGTCATTCTCCACTTGATGCAGTAACAAGTATAGGATTCTTCTAAAACACAGAAAACTGCTACAATAAGTTCATCTAAAATCAGATATGTGAACTGCCTCACCAAGTCTGTTAAGGACTGGATGAAGTGCAATAACTATTGCTGCAAGTTAGGAAAGTAAGTTTATCCAGCAGGTTTTGCTTACATAAAGCATTCTAACCACCTCCGAAGATGTAGTTAGCTTAGGCTTTTCAAACTCCTATCTTCTGCAACAATCTGCCAGTTATAATAAGCCTGTCTACACTGGTGGGTTTTCTGCTCCAGTGGGAAGCTGAAATGGTGCGAAGATGCTGAGAGAACTGCTGTAGCTTCTTGTGAGACCTTACATTAAAAGATATTTTCTTTATATTGCGATATTACAGTGTTTCGAGTCCTTCCTGTTCATAACTGTTCATGAATCTGTGAGTCATAGTCCATGTTTCAAAACAGTGTCACATGCTAGACTTCCCTTCCCTTGCTTTTATGAGTAAAATTAAAGGGAGGAGGAAGACTTGGACACCATAATTCAACTGAAAACTGAAAGTTACTATTTTATTCAATTTTCCCAAAGGACAATTTTGTTTTAAAACCCACTCTGGTCAGTTGGTAATATCTAACAGCAACTAGAAATAAATTAAAATGACCTCAAGTATGTAAACAACTGAAAAACAGGAAATAAATAACAAACAATGTAAACTAGGATTCATGAAGAGTAACGCATTGGTTGAGAAAGATAAAAGTCCAAAGGAAAATCCATATGTTGCAAGGCTAAAAAGAAAAGATAACACAAGTTTTTTGATGAATGTTATGAACAGAATTGTGCACGGTACTTACTAGATGGAGAAAAGTTAAATATATTTGACAGGTATATCTCTAGTCTCTACTATCTGAAAACATGGAGAATCAAATAAGAACAAACTATGAGTTCTTCGAGCTTCCTATAGGATCTTTCCCCAGAATTAGGACAAGGGGTTACCACGGCAACATAGCATGAAGCACTGCCTCAGCAACTGAGCACCATCATCCCAGATATGGACATACCAGTAATGACAATAGTGGTATGCAGATGAGTTTGAGAATGAATGCACTGGAATAAAGACCAGCTCAGAAGATTCATGGCTAAGAGTCCTAAAAATCCTAGGATCATATGATTGTATGGCTGAACATGGCAGAAAACAGCACTTGGAAGTTGCTGAGCTGCAGTCATAGACTAGTTTCTTCCAAAAACAGAGAAAGAACATGTATTCATAGTTCTGCTTAGACTGTGTCCTCTTCTGATGGCTTGGGAACTCTTCCCTTCACCACTGGAGCAGCACAGCGCATCTCCACCACATCTTCCCTAGAGCACAGCAGCCTCATAGTGAGAAATAGGAGAAGTCTAGGGGAGGCAACACTCAGCTGCTCAGCACAGTCATGCACTTTCCCTTCTCTTCCTTTTCTCTTTCTGTCTTTACAACGCTTAAGAGCCCTCACGTGCTCCACCCATGTCTGAGAGAGGAAGAAGGAGAAGCCACAGCCCCAACCTTCTGCTCCCCAGCAACAGGAGAGGAACTTGCGCAACTGAGGAGCTCCAGGAGCAGGAGAGCTAGGAGTGACAGAAACCAAATAGCTAGGCTGGGAAAGAGTACATGTGAGCCACGATCACTCACTTGCTTACATCAGATGCTTTTAATTGTGATGGCATTAAGTTGTAATCAATCTCTGAACACTGAGGAATCCAAAGGACTGAAAGACAGCTGCTATATAATGGTATTAGAGAAGTGAAACATCCAGCTTAACAATAGGTGATAAGACTGACATCTATCCCAAGAAAAAAAAAGATCTGAAAAGTTGATAAGAAAGCCAAATAACATCATTTAGTACCGTTCTATAGAATAACAGGCTCTTCGGAGGGAAACTTACTGAGAAGTAGCCGAATCTGTCTGATGCAGGAATTTACAATTTAGTTGTGGAGCATAATATAAGTAGATAAAGAATACACTGAATGATACAGAAAAGAGTAATCACTGACAACCCGCTGATAAACAAAAAGGTTTTTATAAAGACTATACAGGCATGAAACACTGTAGCACAATGGAAAGCCATCAGTGCTAAAATTTGCAGTTATAAAAATTCAGAAGAGTGGACTTCAGCATTAAATAACACTTAAGACAGCACCTAAGTAGTCTGTGTATCTCCAACGTTTTTCAATACAGCCAAACACATAGAATCACAGAATCACAGAATCACAGAATCACCCGGGTTGGAAGGGACCCCAAGGATCATGTAGTTCCAACACATCTCAGAACTGGGAATGCAAGCCATTGCTGCTGAGTGGGGACTGCATCCTGAAATGGCAGTGACTCTTGAAAGGAATTACAGATCAAGGTACGAAAAAAATGAATAGTCTATATATTCTGAACTCTCAGGAAAAAGCTGCTGCAAAGGCAGCTAGCGCAGTGGCTGACCCAAGTGAAGTGATTTTACCTCTGCTTACAGATATGATGAGACTGCTCCTGGAACAGTGCGTACAGTCCCCATGGAAGTGTTTTTCAAATACTGTCAAAAATGGGAAAGTGCAAGGAAAGAAGCTACAAAATATACTTGCAAGCCGAAGAAACTCCCTTGCATAGAACAAGTTCAGCCTGCTTACATACCAAAAAGAATTTGGTGACTTGAATAAAGTGCTTTCTTTCCTGGGGGAGACATCAAAGCTGAATTATTTTAATTTAGAATATAGCAAGCACTTATAAATAGAAGTTGAAGCCAGATATATCCAAACAAGAAATAAGGCAGTAGTCTGTAACCTCATATTTAAATACTGGAGCAAGGTACAAATCATTTAACGGATTCTCCATCCCCTGCTGCCTTGAAATCACCACTAGATGCCTTCCTACAACAAACAGTTCACCCTAACAGAGGTTA